ATATGTCAATGTCTGATTTTGTAAGCAAGTAGTTTCTAAGTGAGGTGGACCTTGGGTTATGCCAGACAAATCAGACTCCTGAAAGGGTGGAAAAGTTGGAAGCCCCAGTGCAAGAGTAACTAGCTGGGGGAGTAGCAGGGCCGGCTCCAGGCACCAGCTTAACAAGCAGGTGCTTGGGGCGACCCAGGGAGAGGGGCGGCACCTGCGGCAATTCGGGGGCGGCAGGTTCCTTGCTCCCTCTAGGAGCGAAGGACCTGCCGCTGAACTGCCACCAATTGCGGCTTTTTTATTTTTTTTTAATTTTTTTGCTTGGGGCGGCAGAAATGCTGGAGCCGGCCCTGGGGAGTAGAGCCTTTAGTTCAAGTCTCCCCCTGGGCCTGGTGAGAAAGGATCTGAAAGTGTCAGTGCCAAGGCTTTCATCTTGAAGAAATTCCACTTTAATTATCTGTGAACTGGGCCAAAGCGAGAGTCAAGTGTGGGACGCCCTCTATAGGACGGCGGATGAGGTATTTACTTGGGATGCTGAATCCCCTGTTTACTTAAATTGCCAAGCTGTGAAAGTTCAAAACTAGGGCGTCAGACCCCAAATCATCATGGGACTGGCCCCAGTGAATTCCAAACTGGTTTTGGTCTCAGTGCGGGGGGAGGCGTTGCTGTGCGCTGTTCCACCCGCCCTGTGTGTCTCCCTAGAGGTGGCTACAATTAAGCGACGGGAGAAGCGGCTCCCGGCTCTGCAGACTGCCGGCCAGGCACAGGGTATGCAGCAGCAGGGGCCCTTGCACAATCCAGAGCAGAACAGGCTCACGCGGGGCTGTGACTCTACCAGCCGTGGGCCCCGCCCCCTGCGCTGCGAGCTCCGGTCACACGCCTGCAGAGCATTCGCGCACCTAAGAAATTTGACCCTCCTGAGCCGCGGTCCGGCAGCGCTATAGCGTCTGTCACGTGGGTGGGATTGCATAGGAGGAGCTGAGAGGGGCGGGCGGAAGAGAGAGAGACTGAGACCCCCCCCCACACACACACACACCTGACGGCAGCGCAGCCGAGCAGCATGGAGGGGACGCTGGAGCAGCACCTGGAGGACACGTACGTGCCGGGGACCCCAGCGCCGGGGGCATTGACCGGAGGGAGGGGGAACGCGGGGAGCACTGGGGACCACTTAGGCGGG